CTGAGGCATAAGACTAAACACATGTTAGATATAGGAGCAGAAAGCCACTCAAAAGAGTGAACTAACTTGTCTTTTTAGGTTGTTTGCTTCCTAGATGAGCATTGAGAAAAGCTTTCAAGTTAAGACACTAACTAATAAACACAATTGTTCTAAACATTTTACCTATAATGGTTACATTTTGTTGGCTTGCAAAACATTACCATAAAGAAAACTTAGAGAACCCAAAAAGATCAATTAAGGTTACGCATGACGGCAAAGGGAAGAAGTTTAACTTGAAGTGGATCCTTGCACACATGCCATTACATCCTTATCATGCCTCAACAATGATGTGGAGTTATACATTTCACCGTATTTTTGAAGGGAGATGTTTAAAAATACTTAATAAGTACAACATACGATCAATAAATGGAAGTTCAATGTGGCCTAACTTACATACCTCCATTGCCAAGGAAAAGAGACTCCTTGATAGGACCACAACCAAGAGAAGGACATATGACAGTAAGGGTTAGGGATGGGTGGAAAATTTACAATAGTAAGGTTGGGACACCAATAAAACATAACTTGTGCAAAGAGATACGTGATAAGGAAACCAATTCTAAGAGGAAGGATCCTCCAAGTAATATGTACTAAGTTTAGGGGTGTTCGTTTGGATGGATCAGTTTGATCCGATCCAATCAAGTGAATCCGAATAGATTTTGGTTTTCAAAATATTGATCTGAATAGTCTAAACTAAATTTAAATCTGATCCGATCCAACTAAATTACTATTCGGTTGGATCGGTTTTTACAATTCGGTTTTCAAGAGGCAAAACATTTTGAAATATATATAACTTGAATATTAGCAAAATCTATAAAAAAAACTATTTTTTTTTTATAAATTATAATTTATAAACAAATACTAAGAAAATATATTATAATTAATATCTCATTGACAATTTTTTTTTGATAAGAAGTAATTTTAAAGTATTATATTGGATGAAAATTTCTAATAACTAAAAATAATAATTTAGTAAATTTATAAACAGTTAAAGATACATATGAAAATAGATAATAAGTTGTTATTCGGTTTTTTTGGACTATTCGGTCCTTAGTTTATAAACCAAAACCAATCCGAAATTCAAAATAATAATTCGGTTTTGCTGAAAACCAATAAAAAAATCCGAATATCCGAACCAAATAGTCCGATCCAAATTGTCCAATTGGACAATTCGGTTTTATGCAAAGAGTGAACAACCATAACTAAGTTTAGTGTTTATTTTAAAAAAATAAAGTAAAAAAATCAACAAGTACTTATATGTTTTAGTTGCATGCATATAAACCAAGATAAAGAGGAAAAAGAAGACAACCTGGAAGTGAAAATGTTAGAAGTGGAAAAGTATAAAAAGAGTCTAATGTGATAGAAATTCAAAGGATGATGTGGTAGCCAATGCTGAAGAATTGGCTAATCTACGACTACAAGTAGTGGAAAATCCACGAGCTGATGTGGTTGATGGAAGAATTCACAAGTTCTAACTTTCAAGGACACATCCTTTTATCATCTTGCCCCAACATCTTGGAAGTTGAGGCAATTACAATGAGAAATAATTAAGTTTAAAACGATAACCAAGTTAAATCTCAATAATGTTTTGTGACGTATGTATGCTATATTTTTCAAAATTCTAACGTTTTATAATTTATGTAATGGATCTCCTATGATGTGCACAACTTTCAAACTTCTGGTTATGTTTTGGCATTTCTATTCGTATTAAAACTAATCTAGACCGAGGCTTCTCGTTGAATTTCAAGGTCCGATGCAAAAAATAAAAATGGGCTCCTAAATATAATTTTTTTTATATATAAGCATAATACTATGACAAGTCGATATGTGTTATAAGAAGGATAAAGAATAAAAACAAATGAAATATATATATATATATATATATATATATATAATATATATATATATTGCAAATGTAATTATAGTTCAATACATATCGATTGAAGGCAAACGGGCAACAAGCTGCGCCGCTAGCCCTTTCTGGATAGCAAAACCAATTCTTTTGAAAACAACATTTGTGGATCTAGGAGATATGACATTAGAATGCATGACCCGTTGGACTCTATTGAAGAGCTCCACCGCCTCTGGTGCGAGAAAACCAAATGTATCGAATGCAAAAGGAACAAACACATGTTGATTTTCTATACATGCATTCTCGTGCTTTACCACTTTGCACGCAGCGACTTTCAAAGCGGCATGCCCAGCTGTGAAACCCCGCTCCCCAAACCAACGAGAGAAAAGACCCCAGTAAGATCCACGCACGCATGCTAATATATATATATATATATATATATATATATATATATATATATATATATATATATATATATATATATATATATATATATATAAGTTAACCCCCCTCATGACGTGAGTCCTGTGCACTCGTCCACCTCGCACACGCCTCAGAGACGCCCTGAATCTAAATATGCCAAATTAACATGTTACATTAAGATCAAATGTCATTATTACATGAACCGGTTACACAAACAAGTAAAAGTAAATTGTTACGATCACACATCCACATACAGTCCATATAACACTAATTATTTTGGACTTAATGCCTTCTAAATCTATTATCATGTTTTGAAGTTCAAGACCAGACGAAAGTCTTCGTCTGTGTACAAACATATCCTTTTCTACAACTTTTGTATGAAACAATTTCTTTCTCCAAACTGTCAATCTTATCTTTGTATGAATCCATATCCTTTTCCACAACTTCAAGCATTAAATACATTTCTTCATTTATCATTGTCTTTTCATAACATCCAACTAATGCCCATGTGGAAGTTCGGTATCAAGGCAACAAAAGTATTTGCATTCCTTCTTAGGATCCTACATAGTTCATAAAATATTAACAAAATATGAAGACTATTATAAGTTAAGAAGTTAGCTTCACCTCCCATTAGGGCGCCCAAGAGTCTTCGAGTTGGGTTATCCTTACTCCAACTAACTGAAATGTTCGATTCCTTTCCACAATCACTTTGATGTGAGGATTTTCATTGAGATTCAGTTGCGTTATCGTAGCTTCTTATGGTCGATATAACATTAGTTATATTTTAAGAATTTTTTAAAATGATCTAAGATTAATATACCATTAGTTATAATTCAAGAAAATTACAATCGATCCAAATACATGTATACCATGATTTTATTATGATTAAGTGTTTATATAAAGATGGTTAATGTCATAAATGATTATGAACCATATGAAATATTAAAAAGTTCAAATGTACCTAACTACCAAAGGTAAATAAGCAACTCAATGTTTTGCATATCAAATAGCATTAAAATAAGAGTATTTTTAAATAAAGTCCGATAGTTTTTAAGCAACGATGTTTAGTACAAAAAAGCAAATAAAAATGTTCTTTAAGTAAACATAACACGACTATTTTCTAAGAGAAAAGCTATGGAAAATATTATAAAAAAGACATCATCTTTAAACAGAAAGACAATTTCGGAAAAAACAACTTAATTTTGAAATTTCAAAATATTAACATGTGTAGTACATTACATCTAAAATATAATATATTTTAAAAAATCCTTATTTTTAAAGATCGTAGTAATATTAACTACGGATGTTTGTATGATGTTTTGCATCTTTTTTTTTTAATAATTATATTTTCCATCCTATAGTTTATAAAATGTCACTTTTAACTCTTCAACTTTGAATTTTTTTAAAATGTTACTTTTACCTTATGCTTTATAAAATGTCATTTTTATCTCTCAACTTTGAACATTTTAAAATATATCTTTCACGTCTTCGTTTTCTAAATATTTGTGTTTACCCCGTAGTATATATAATCTGATTTCCTTACAGTTACCACTCTCAACTTTGTAAAATGTCATTGTGACCCTCTCGACTTTGAACTTAATAAATTTTGTTAACTTAAAAAAAGATATTACATGCTTACTTTTTTTATGTATGTGTCGGTATAAATTCTAGGTGGTTACCCTTTCAACGTAAATTTAGAATTTTGGATCGTTAATTTTTTTTTAAAACTGACTTTTTTATATACGTATCGGTATGAATTGAAGTTTGTCTACATTTCGACGTAATTTTGTGTACTCTTCCTATGTATAAGTCGGATCACATATAATACGTTTTAAATAATTTAAATTTCCATTCATTAACTTAAAATTTTTTTATTCAACTGTTAAAAAAATTAAAAAATCTTAATTACTTATTTCTATGTATATGTCGGTATAAATTCGAGTTTCTTTATGTTACCAGATAAATTTTATCTATGTTTACGTGTTTACTTTTATGTACATTTCATACGTATGAGTTGGGTCACATACAATTCATTTTCATTGACGGTGGAGTTATTATACTATATACTAACTGAAGTGTCGACACACTTCTTTTTGTCCACTTTAGTCCTGACGTTTTGCTTGTTGTCATTTTTGTTCCTTGCTTTTGTGACGTAATATATGTGGCAAAATTTAGTTATATGTGTCCACACCTTCGTGTATGTGGCGCCATTTTGTTTGCTCATTTTGTTTTTTCTCTGATTTTAGGATTTCTTTTGTAAACTTGTTCTATGTAACTTTTCGTATAATTGTTACATGTTTGATAAATACTACGTATGTATTTTATAGATGCAACTCATCATTCGTCAAATATATCGCTGCCACCGCAACACGCGTTCGTTATATTGAACTTGTATATTTATCTACCAAAAAATTTCACCGTACTTAACTTAACTTGTATGATTGCAATCATTGAAATTCAACTTATAATATTTTTGAAAAAATAATACTCATGATATGTTTGTTTTTAATTAATAAGGTTAGTAAATTCAAATTTTTATTTTGAAAAGCAAAGTCAATATATCCTCACTCTCACTCCACTTATTCCCCTTTTATTTTCTCATAAAGTCAAAAGAAAAGGTGTGGGTCCTTCCTTCATAGCTTACCTTTACACCCTCCTTGACAACCCCTTCGCCGGAGACCGGACTACCATGACCTCCCGCTACTATCCCAGATCTTCCTCATCCTCCACTGCCTCAATCAAAGGCTGTTGCTGCTGCCTAGGCCTCCTCTTCTCCTTCCTCGCTCTCCTCTCCCTCGCCATTATCCTCGTCATCGTCCTCGCAATCAAACCCAAAAAGCCCCAATTCGATCTCCAACAAGTCACCGTTCAATACATAAACTTCGCCGCCACCAATTCCCTCACCACCGCCGTCGATTCCCCCAGCTCCGCCTCTCTATCCCTCGTCATACGCATGCTTTTCACCGCCAAAAACGACAACATAGCCGGGATCAAGTACCGCGATTCCACATTCAATATCATGTACCGTGGAGTCCCGTTGGGGTCGGGGCACAGTACCCGGGTTTTACCAGGCGGCTCACAGTGTGAAGAACGTACAGACGACTGTGTCGGTGGATCGGGTGAGTCTGTTGCAGACGGATGCTGCTGAATTGGTGACAGATGCTTCGGTTAATGATCGGGTGGAGCTTCGGATCATGGGTGATGTAAGTGCTAAGATCCGGGTCATTGGGATTACTTCGCCCAGTGTGCAGGTTAGCATTACCCTTTATCTTCCTTCTAGAATTAGGGCATTGTGTCAATGGCGCATTGTTGCTTGCGTTTTGTTTTACTAGTATTTTAGTCAAACCTCCACATGCCTTTTTTGCTAATTTACGCGGGTTTTTGGGGTTGCATGTGGTGCTATCGTGCTCCTGCTCCCATCTTGAATGATTTTCTTGGTTTGAATCAGAGAGTAAATGCATGGACATTGTTTAGTTATTATTTATTAGAGTTATTGTTTCCTTTTTGCTTTTTCAGTAATTAATTTTTGATATTCATATTCATCTCCATGGAAAACTTATTATTTAAGAGAATATATATGAAAAAAAAAATCATACTTATCCTTTTTAATATAGTTTTTACTTACATTTGTAATTGTTACTTATATTATGATAATTCTTGAAGTTGTAAAAAATAATTTCAAAGATTTTTTTTATTAGTTATAGATAAGCATCTTCTAAAGTAAATAAATAAATAATAATAAGATGTTTTTTTGTTCATATTGCAGGTATCCATAGATTGTTCAATAGTCATAAGCCCAAGTAAACAATCTCTTATTTCCAAGCAATGTGGATTCGATGGTTTGCAAGTATGATGAAGCAATGTGGAATAATCTTCTTCTAATCTTTTATATATTAGTTGAAAATTTTGCAAAAAAGAAAAAAATAGAATAAAATGAAGATATATTTAGTTCTATAATCTTATTATTATTATTATTATTTCTTTATTTTGATTTTCAATTTTGTTCTTAATATTGTAAAATGGTTGTTTCTTCGCGAAAACAGCGAGAAGCAAGAAGTGTTCTTTTTTATATCTTCATAGTGTTTTTTGTTTCTTGATCGAATGTGTATTTTGCATCCGTGATCAACACAGTTGAAGAGCCCTAGGATATGGACGGGCATACACACCAAATCACGTATCCATCACAACATTAAGTTTCAAATTTCAAGAGAATCGTCTTTATTAGTTTTGTTTACACTTTCAGGGTCATTTCACATAATAAATCTACAAATAATGACTAAGTGATCTTTAGGTTAAACATACGAAAACATAAAATCAATAACATATCATTATAAATACATATGAAGTTCAATCACTACATAAATGGTATCTTCACCCACATCTATCCATATTCCTACGGATGTGTCTGTCTACACGCATGCTCATGTTTATCAGCTTATGTCTATGTCTATGCGTATGCCTTATGCTTATGCTTATGATTATGATTATGATTATGATTATGATTATGATTACGTCTATTCATGTGCCCATGTTTGTTCCTAAGCCTATGTATATGCATATGTAATTATGTATATGTCTATCCCTATGATGCCTAAGCCTATGTCTATGCGTATGTATATTCCCATTCTTATGTTTATGTATATCCTATGTTTATGTCGACGCATATGTTTATGTCTATGTCTATGTCTACGTATATACTTATGCCTATTCCTATATTTATGTATATACTTATAGGTTGTTGTAGATATACATCTATTGTATTATTTTGTTATAAAATACTCCATTCTTTAAGCTTAAGCTCTTGTTATTTGTGTTTTTTGTTAGATGGTTTTTGATATTGTAGCCAAGTCGTCTATCCCCTCATCTAAATGAAAGTCACAATTAAAATATGGACTATGATATACATGTATTTTTAATAATGTGACAAAAAAACACAAACTAATAAAGATGATTTATAATTAAAATATATTTTCAATTTTATGTGTTTCTTTTTTATTATATTGAAATTGGACCCCACGTCATATTGATTATCATACTCGTCTTTAGTTCCCTCTGATATATTTGATCATTCAACTCTTAGTACATTTTTATTTTTATACATTGTAGATAACATTAATGAAAAAAGAAGAAAAGAAAATGTAAGGATTCAAACATTAAAATAATGTTCTTCCAAAAAAAATTTAATGAACCAAACATGTAATTAGTAGAAGTTGAAAAATAAGAGTTTTAAATAAATATGGTAGGATATGTATAATTTAGCTTAGAATCATATTGATTTAGATATAAACATAAACATAGAGAATTCCTTTTTCATCAACTTTTTTGTTAAGTGGACATTTTAATTTACCTCTCCTATTGATGACTAACGATGACGTATACTTATTTATTTTATTATTATTATATTAAAATTGTGGAGGAAAAAAACAGTAAAATTGACATACTTTATCCACCTTTGGCCCCTTGATTTACAGTCTCAACTTCTTTAATACTTTATCCACCTTTGGCCCCTTGATTTACAGTCTCAACTTCTTTAATTAATTTATATCGTATCCTTTTGTTTGTCTTCTATTCGGTTACTTTAATTTATTACTTTCTTTTCTTTGTTTTGATTAATTTAAGGGTTTCCGCTCCACCGCTTTCACCAGATTCTCGATTGTTCTTCACCCTCTCATATTCTCTTCATTCTTCCTTTTGGATAGTCACGTTTAGTCCACCGCCTTACTATCCAACCAGTCGATCTGCTTCTTCTTGATCCTTCAGCACCGCCTTCGCATCAAGTTAGCCTTTCCTTGCATCTGTGTTTCTATTTGTTAGCTATGCACCTCCGCCACCCTTTTCATTTTTGGTGCAGACGACTGAAGAGGACTTTGGAGCAGGTAAGCTTCCTCCCAACAGATACATGGCGAGAAAGTCTCCTTTTTCCCTCTCTCGCATCTTCTACACTTTCTCTTCTTCCCACAACTTCTTTTTTATTAGATTAACTGAGTTGGGTTTCTTCCACACAGCAAGAACGCCATGAACGATCGACCCTTTCGAGGAATTGTCGTCGTGTGTGCCACAATCTGGATTTTCAGGCTTCTGCTGAAGCCCTCGCAGGTAAGATTTTCCATCTGAAGGGTCGATTCATAGAAGGTTGTCGCTTCTTCCCTATTTTTCTTGAGTTTTCATCTATGATCCTTGATTTTCACCTGTTGATTCCTTCAATCATGTGAATCTTCTCTATGACAGCTTAGTTGAGTTCTGTACACCACAGATTTAGCCGACTGTTTTTTTTTTTTTTTTTTTTTTTTTTTTTTTTTTAATATTTTCATTATATCTCCACATATGATGCTTTATGATGTCTGAGAATCAATTTTTTTGCCCAAGGTAATATCACATTTTTCTTGAATTTCTTTGGTTTCTTGCACACAAGCTGTTTGATGCATTGTCTGTATGTGTATTCTAATGCAACTGTCATCTGAGCGCCATGAATGAAACTCCCAAGTAGAAATTGCACAGACTCACTCTTCCTAACGGTCTCTGTGTTGCCACCGAGTCTAATCTAGCCTCCCAGACGGCTACCGTTGGGGTATGGATTGATGCAGGGTCATAATTTCAGACGGAAGGGAACAATGGGGTTGCTCAGATATATTGCATTGCAGAACTCGAGTTTTGATGAAACATTGATCAATCGTGAGCGTGGTATTATTCTACATAAGACGGAAGAGGTTTGTGTGTTTGCATTCTTATTTGCCTTCATTCATTTTGGTTTGTAGGCTAAGATTAGAATCAACACTCAGTTCCAACTACAGCTATAGGATAATCATGTATCAGCTGTTTTACTGATTGTATATGTTATTTCAGATGAGAGCACAAACAGAAGAAGTAATCTTTGATCATTTGCATTCTACTGCTTTCCAATACACCCCCCCTTGGAAGGACCATTCTTGGACCTGCTGAAAACATCCAGAAGATAACTTAAGATTACATTTCAACCCACTATGAAGCTCACAGAATGGTATCCAACTCAAACTTTAATCTTTCTACAAACCATTTTAGTATGATGTAAAAATATAAGTTTCTACTCTTTTTATCTGTCACAGGTAATTTTAGCTTCTGGGACTGTTAAACATGTGAAGCGATTGAGGAGCGAAACATGATTTGGGAGTATATGCTTACACTGTCCGGTGGTAATGGAAAGATAGACAAAGACCGAACTTTCTTAGATGGAGAAGAAGTAAGTATTTAGTTTACAAGTTTCTAATGATTAGTTTTCACAAGCCTTATGTTTTTTTAATTTTAACTGACCTAAAATCGTAAATATGTGAAAACTAATTTTTTTTTTTTGTTTTTTGTATTTCAGCAGATGTGAAAATGATTCTGACATTAAAATAGGACATTTAAAACAATTCGATTGAAAAGGTCAATTATTGTTGAAGGTGTGGACTTTGTTGTTGCACTTACACATTTGAACTGCTAAACATTAAAAACTAAATCTTTTAAAAATTATATCGTCTTCGATTCAATAACATTAGGGCCAATATTTTATTTTTCACGTTTTCATATCAACATGTATTTTATTTTTTATGTTCCTTTTCACACGTCTGCAATTTGTTTTTGTTGTCTATTCTAAATCTGTGATTTAATACAAAATGCTTATCAACAGTTCTTGGCTGCAAAGAATTAATGACACAATCATGGAGATGAGGTACCATAATACATGGTCTTAAAGACATGAGGAACCAAGATTTACAACCGATGATTGCAAACAGGGAATGTATGTCTATTTGGATTTTCATATCAGCAATGATGAAATGCAGTTACTCAAATGATAATGAAAATAGATTTTATAGGAACAAAAAAATCACTGGTGGTAAATAAAGTACTTGGAGCTGATGACACAAATGTTCAAAAAGTTACACTTGCCGAGGCTATCTCTAGCAGCGGTCAGCAAAACAAAAGGCTCGGGTAAACACTTAATAAGCAATGACATCACCGAACTACTAATATTATCAACTCACACATTTTGATTCTTCTTTAGTGGAATAATATGGTAAATGTGTTATTTTGTTCAGACCAAACATTTTTTTTTTACTTCTTTTTTTTTGTTGGGAGATAAGCTTTTATCATATATAATTTATTTCGTAGTAATTTGCAAGGAAAGCCAATGGAAACACCGTTATGTCTATATTATCACTATTGCAAAATTTGAAATAATTGTGACCTGTGAGCACATTATTAAATTTTAATTTATTTTCATTGTCTTTTTTGGTTACTAAATCCGTAGTAATAAATCTGTGCAGAAACTAACATTCATTATGTTTGCAGTTTTAATTTTGGATTTATGTTTTAATTAAACTGGGGATTTAATTCAAATTACAAGTGACCATATCGACCCTCTCTGCAGCCGGGTAAGTAATTAGTAACTGCGCTTCACGTCTATTTTGTTTTATAGATTTACGGTTACCAATTTTGGTTTATATTGTTTTCAAATCCCCTGTTCACGATGTAAGTTGTTTATGTTCAGTACTTCAAGGAACTAAAAGTGTCGGGGAATGGTGCATCAACATTGTTGCACATAGCGTTTCATGAATGTGAATCATATGGGGGCCAACTACTATAAGAGGGTTGATCAAGGAAAATCTCCAAGGACTGTCATTTGGATCATTTCATTGGTGTTGAGTGGTGGAGCATATCATATCTGCAATTATAGATTACTGGAATTCTTTAAATTGAAATTTTGATGGGTTTCACCATACCTAGGGGCAAAGCCCGGACTTTTCATCCTTGCACTTTCTATGTCTGTCATATTTATCAATTCGGAAACAACATTGAAAGCTTCTGGCCCCCGCGTAACGAGGGTAACCTTTCTAGTTGTTATTATTATTATTATTATTATTATTATTATTATTATTATTTGCATTTATTGCTATCTTGTTAAAAAGTAATATGCATCTCCCATAAATCTCTCATTAACACTTAGGTGTTGTTTGTTTTTTCTGAGGCAAAATGTTTGCAGTCTGCGGACCACATCTGTAGACCTCTGCAGTAGAAGAGGTGGACCAAACGTCTGCGGTCTGAAAAAAGAAGACTGTTTGTTTTTTTAACATCTGCGGGCTACTAAAAAAAACCGAAATCTAAATAAACTGATTTTTTTTAACTTTAAAGTGATTTTTTTAATATTTTTATGACTTTGTTATAAATAATTAACGAATCTAGATCAACTTTTATTAGGCCTGACAATTGGGTTGGGTTCGGGTTGGCGGGTCACGGGTTGACGGGTTGGCGGGTCAGAATACAATGACCCAACCCAACCCATATAATATATGAGTTGGCGGGTTGGCGGGTTACGGGTTGGCAGGTTGAAAACATCAACCCAACCCAACCCAACCCATATAACCCGTATAAGTATATGGGTTCGTGGGTTAGTGGGTCGAACCCAACCCGTATAACCCATTTAATAAGCAACACATTTTAAAATGAAATAAAAAAAATACAAATAAAATAAATAAAGTCTTAAATATTCAACATAAAGTCATAAGTGTAAAGTCATAAACAAGAGTGACGGCGACGAGTGGTGTGCGACAACCGGAGGACGAGAAGACGAGTGGTGTGCGTGCGACACTGCGACAGTTGATGACTCGATGCCTCAATCGACAAAGATGGGAGACACAGAGTCGTGAGTTTGGACACTGAAGACTGAATTTCTTTTTTATTAGAGGCTTATTAGGAGCTAGGGCACGCTAAGTCGACTCGAAGATGTTTTGCAGTTTTGGAATTCGGAAAACGATTAAACGATAATCAAATATTCAAAACTGATATATATATATATATATATATATATATATATATATATATATATATATATATATATATATATATATAATCGGGTTGGCGGGTTGACCCGCGAACCCAAATAGGTAACCCAACCCAACCCATGAAATAAACGGGTTGACGGGTTGGCGGGTCAAAAATCTCAACCCAAACCCGTTTATTTTCGTGTTGGGTCAGTGTCGGGTTACGGGTTGGGTCGAGGATTGCCACCCCTAACTTTTATGTATTATTGTATAAAAAATAAAAATAAAAATGGTATGAATTAACGTATATATTTGATGAAAACCAACAACTTTGGTTGCAAAGTTATAACTAAACATTATAATTAGTGATCAAAAAATTTGATATAAATGGATGGAAATAAACTTTGATTTTTTCAATTAAATCCATTAAAAACGTACCATAAATATTTTCTCGAGAAATTGACGATACTGTATTAAATAATGTTTTACAAAATTTGGCAAAAAAATATAAGAATATATTATGATTTTTTTTTTCATATTTATATAAACAACTTCAACGACTATTATTGTAATAAATCTTTATTTATAAATTTGTCAAAAATATCATGTTTGTATCGTCGAACGTTTTTTTTTAAGTTTTGTAAATTTTTTTTCAAATTGTTATCATTAATAAAGTTGGAAAAAATATAAATTAAAAAAAACTTAAAAAAAGAAAGATATATATGTTTTTTTAGGCTAGAAGATGTCCGAAGATGTTAGAAGACTCTGGTCCACATCTGCGCCAAGAAGAGGGCGCGCAGACGTTTTTAGGTCTGCAGTCTTCAAAAAAACAAACAGTCTGCGAAGGCTAATGTCTGCACGTGGTCTGCGCGGCGTAGACAGAAGAGGCCACGCAGATCTGCAGAGAAAAAACAAACACTACCTTAAACTAGGTAAACATATCCACTTACCTTGGATCCTATTTTTTTCACTGCCAAAACATAAACCTTCATTAGAATTTTTATTTTTCTTCATGATTTAAACAATTTTTATTATCAGCTAAACAATAAATTGCCATATTTCACTATTTATACCATTTTGATTATTTTTCTCCCTATAGTTGTCCTCACGTATACTAAACACATATGGTTATTGCATAAATTGGAGATATAAGAAAAACAAAATACATAAAAATACAACCAATTATATATATATATATATATATATATATATATATATATATATATATATACAAAAAAACCTTTATATTATTTTTATTTTTTAAAAAGTATTTTTTTTAACACTCACCTTTAAAATAAACCAAATTACCCATTTTTAAGAGAAATGATTAGGTAAAAGACATACATTTTTGTTTTTTAACATATTAATTGGGTTAAAATCGATTAGTTAAGGAGAGAAAATCAAATATAGAGTTCCATACACAAAACACAATCGGACAAAAGGAGAGAAGTAAATGTAAGGTTTGACATATCTTCACACACAATCGAGCAAATGGAAGATATATTTATGCTATATCACATTTTTAGTAGGTTATTTCTCATAAAACTTGCAATTTGGTGTCATTTGAAAGGTAAAATATTAATATGATTTTTTTCTGAAAATAAAAAAATAATATAAGTGGTTTTTGAATATACATATATTAGTTTTTTTCTTATCCACATCACAATTCACAAAGTGTTAGTTACTAAGAGCATTAGGTATAAGTCCAATGTTATAACACCTAAAATTGTCACATCACATGGCAACACAACAATAACTAGAAGTGGGGGTGGTGTGCATATGTTATAACATTTTAAGAGGTAGAGAGAGAGAGAGAAAGAGAGGAAAATATTTGATGGGTTGAGTTCTCCGTTGCAGCTAGTTGTCGTTACTACGAGATTTGCCTTAACAAGATTTTTTTTGGGGGGGGGGGGGGTGTTTTTGATGTTATGACGGTGTTATGGGCATGCTACATCAGCCTTAACGACGTTGTGGTGACCCATACCGTTTGCTCTAAGGAACTACATATATACACTCTAAAACATGCAAAATGCCATTCACTAAATATATACTGCTTGAGTAGATATGTGATGAAATTAACTTTCAAGTAGCCAACATACATCCATGTTGAAATCCTTTTCTTGGTCGGATCTTTAACACTCCATGTTGAATCCCTGAATATTTGACATGGTACAAAATCATGATTTTTTTTGGATATTACAAAGCATAAACTTAAATTTTTGTTGAAACCTATAGCAAATACATTATAATCCTAAACTACTCCTAAATCCACTTATGTCTCAGATGAGACTTGAACCCCAACCTCAAGGAGGGAGGACAACACCTGATACCGCTGGGCTAGAAGCCATTTGGTGCGTGTGTGTGTATATATATATATATATATATATATATATATATATATATATATATATATATATATATATAGAGAGAGAGAGAGAGAGAGAGAGAGAGAAAAAAGAGAGAGAGAGAGAGAGAGGATCATGTATAAAGTATAAATATTATATTAACGTATGACTAGATGTGGTCCAATCAATTCATAAAAGACATTATATTAAATTGTTTAATTAAATTAATTATTATATAAATTAAATCCCTATAAATTTGGAAACTTAATGAATAGATTTAATTTAAAATTCACAATTTTAGGATTTATTCCTTATTCATCTCCAGGTTCACTATTCAGCCGTACCTTTCTTCATCGCCATCACCGCCATAAGCGATACCACTTCTTGTTCGTCAAGGGACGATCTCAGATTGTAAAGGCAAAATCAGGATTCTAGTCGTTGATTGTTAAGTCATATTGGCTTCCGGCACCATATCCGATTTTTCAATGGTATATAGCTTTGATTAATCCGTGTACTACACGGATTAATCAGGATTCTATATATAAACAACTAGGTTTGAGACCATTGTACTACACGATTTGATTAAAAAAAGCTATATATAAAGATATAAAATTTGAAAATGACAATGAACTTTGAAATAAACATGCCAATTTCGAATTATGTATATTGAAATAAACATATTAAAATTTGAAAATATAAGGAAACAAAGTAATGATACTTCAATTACTTTCTATAACCTGTAAATTATAATAGTTAACTATAAAAATAAAAAATTAACACAAAATGAAAGTAGAAATTAATTTCTAAGAATTAACCACAAAATTAAATATGCCAAAATACATGAGAATGATGACAGATTATAAAAATGGTTTTTATTTATTAGAGTAGAAATGTAAAAGTTTTTTTAAATGCTTAGAGGTAAATGATTGTGTTTTTCTATATTTTTCCCAATTATCTAACACCATAGCATTCTAATAAAAATAACTATGTCAATTATTTTCTTTCATATTGATTTGAATTATGATAAATGGGTCAAATGAATAAAAAAACTATAACATTCTAATAAAAAAATAACCATGTCAATTAATTTCTTTCATATTGATTTGAATTATGATAAATGGGTCAACTGAATAAAAAAATATAGCAAAATAAATAAGGGTAAATACCATAAAAGACACTATGTTTACACGAAAATTTTAATTTGACACCGTGTTATTTTTTGTCTCAAATTTGACACTGTGTTATTTTTTGTCTCAAATTTGACACTGTGTTTTCTAATTTGTTACAATTCTAACAATTTGACCGGTCAACCCGGTTACTTGCTGACGTGGCATAATGACGTGTCAGTTTTGATGACGTGGCATGTTGACATGACATGCTGACGTGTCAGAATTGAATTTTTTTTCCACAAAAGACACTAAGTTTTTAATTTTTTTTCGATTTTGACACTACGTTTATTTATTTTTTTTTCAATTTTGACACTTTATTTTTTTGTTCCAAATCGAACATCATTTTTTTCAATTTTGTTCAATGCTGACCATTTTCCATTTGAAACCGTATAAATATTTTTTTAATACATGTTAAACCATATAAATATATTTTTTTTTCATTTAAAAACCATATTTTTTACATTCAAAGCATATGTTTTATAAATATTTTTAGTTATATAATGAGAGTTGAACTAGCCATAAACTTCGAATAAGAATAACAAAATTTTATCAATTATCACTTATGAAATATTATTTATTTTATTTTTTGTTGTAGATTTTACACATATTTTTATTTACGATTAAATAATTATAAGGTTTTAAATAGAAAATGATCGGCATTGAAAAAATTGGAAAAAATGATTTTCGATTTGGAACAAAAAAATAGAGTATCAAAATTGAAAAAAAAATAAAATTAATGTCAAAATCGAAAAAAATGTAAACTTAGTGTCTTTTGTGGAAAAAAAAAAATTCAATTTTGACATGTCAGCATTCCACGTCATCATGCCACGTCAGCAAGTAACCGAGTTGAACGGTTAAATGGTCAGAATTGTAACAAATTAGAAAACACAGTGTCAAATTTGAGACAAAAAATAACACAGTGTCAAATTAGAATTTTCATGTAAACGTAGTGTCTTTTGTGCTATTTACCCAATAAATAACGATTCCGATATTTGTAAACATCAAAGGAAGTATTAAATTTATCAAAAAAATCAAATATTATTTTAACACATTATTTGTAAAATTTAAAATAATAAAAAAACAAATTTTAGGCCCAGACCGGCCCGGCCCACTGAGTTGGGCCTTATCCATATCTTTGCCTTTACTTTTTCTAACAAGTCAAAAAAACAGCAGCAAAAGAGAGCATTGTTGCATTGCAGTGCTGAGTGCAATGGATTTCTCTCAACTCACAGACGCAATGGCGTCAAGATCGTACGACAAAGTCGCTGATATCTGCGATCAACTTATGCTTCAGGTATCAAAATATGAATCCGTGTAATGACCGTTGTGCGCTAATCGTTGCTTAGTGCTACGACTGATTGTGTTTTGGGTTTGATTTGAAACCCTAAGTTCATATCTGCTGGTTTGAATTCAAGCTTACTGCTACTTTATTTTGCCTTTTTCATGTAGATTGCTTCACAAGGCGTTGCATTTCAAGACGAATGGCCATATGCCGTTCATCTTCTAGGGCACATTTACCTGAATGATCTGTAAGTTAAGACAAATTGTCTCTGTTTTTTTCTTCTTCATGGGTTCTATCTATACATATATGGCTTTGTCAAGTGTCGACTGAGCCTGGGATTTTTGTGAAGCTAAGTTATAAGCAGTTGGTGAAATTTCCCCTCCAGAATTTAAAAAAAATCAGTGTTATATTATTGTTACAAGTATGATGTCTTTGAGAAGTATATAGATTTCGATACCTCTTTTTGTCTGTTATAACTTGTCGTGTATCTATTCTTGTATATGCATATGTTAAGGTGCAAGGTGGTTTAGTTTAATATCTGTGACCTTTCAACTTTTCTTCTTTAAGTAAGATGAGTTCCCCCTAAATCCTACTCCAAATTCCCCCAATATTCTTGTTCAATTACTGTGAGGTGTAGTGGTGATATCTATTAGTTAAAAGATAGGTGTGTAACTCCATCATGCAAACAAGAAACTTGTATGCAATTATGTATGAAAGATCTATTTGTCTGAGTTCTAGAAAGACTTATTCATCAAAGGTCCAAATGCATGACATAACTTGAAAAAACAATGAGACTTCATGATTTCACTCATATAGAATTCATCTCCACATTAGAGCAAGATTACTCATTAAAAGAAATAGAAGTAAAGATTATATGAATTAAAGACAAACGTATGTGGGATGCTTGCATAATATGTTACTCAGAGCCATGCTATAAAAAAAAGATGATGATGGAAATAGTTTTCACTAATTGATTTATTTAAAAACTTATAGAAACAGTGCTCGGTTTCTATGGAAATCTGTTCCAGTTTCAATCAAGGAGAGTCATCCAGAAGTTTGTGCTGTATGGAAAATTGGACAGCAGTTATGGATTCGAAATTATGCAGGTGTCTATGATTCCATCCGTTCATTCAATTGGAGTGCAGAAATTCAAGATTTCATTGCCTCATTTTCAGGCAATTTCCTACTTCCCACTTACTATTTCAATAAAACTGTTTGACTTTTTAGTCAAATATCTAAAACCCCTTTAAATAGTTACATAATAAAGATATATTGTGGATCTTGATTATATTTTACAGAAAAATACACAAGAAGAATGTTGGAGCTACTGATGTCTGCTTATTCAACTATAAGCATCCAAGATACTGCTCTCTTTTTGGGGATGAATGAGACTGATGCCACAAACTGTAAGTTATCTTGTTGGATACTTTGGGGTTTTGTGTGTTGATTTTTGTTTGACTTTGTGTGATGGAAAAATGCAGATGTAATGCAACAAGGGTGGAATGTGGATGCAGCTTCTCAAATGCTTACAGTTAAGAAACAAGTGACTGTAACTGAACAGAAGATAGATCCTTCAAAATTGCAGCGTTTGACTGAATACGTGTTTCACCTTGAGCACTAAAAAAAAACTTAAAGAAATTGTGTCTGTAGACATTAAGATTTGCTTCTCTCATGTTTTGCTTACTTGTTATTTGTTATGGTTACTGATATGATTAGATTAGTAAGTGATGCTTCTTGAGTAATATGCGAAGAATGGTTGAAATTTGTAAATTTCAAAGTATGAAGATATGCCATGAATTTGCTAAGAGTTTTAGTAAAGTGGCATGTAATATGGTATGTTGATAATATGGAAACTTGCTTCTATGAGACATGTTTACTTATTGGAATATGTTGGAATGATATTTAAATGACTAGATACATGATAGTAATTGATGGATCGTAAAACTTAAAGGAAAATTCATAATTGATGTTATGTAGTTATAAAGAAAGTATGTTTCCTAATCGAAAATAAGAGACTTGAAATGTAGGTAATGTTTGGCATGCTTTGTGAAATAATTAGCTTAATAATATATTGAAATTAAACTATATGGAGGATATCTAGATCACATATAGCAATTTATCATCATGTGATATTAAAGGATTATGAAATGAATGATTCATGCAATAAATAGTTAAATTATAATGTGAAATGCAAAAAAACCTTTCAATGATGGCAAATACCAACAAATCAATGTTGGTATTTGATAGGTATGATATAAGATCAATATGCAAGGAAAACAAATTGAAACTAGATTGATACCTAGTCTCCTCATATGTTTAAAGAATATTATGTTCAAAATTGAATGATATTATTATGTATAATATGATTACTATTATTTCTGATTGATGTTCTTACACATATAGGGAACCTTGGGCATGTTGTACTTTTTATGAGACTTCTTGCAACTTGCGATATTCAATTTCAAGTTGAATAGACAGATTTTTAAGGCTCAGATATATAACAAAACCAAAGAGGTGAGATTGAATCGTGTTAAGATCTTACAATCCTGGTCGATATCCTAATATCCCACTATGGATCTTGCTTTAGATAGATCCTAGTGACATCAGAATCATTTTTGGTTTGTATGATCTTAAACTGTAAGATTTTAAGATTGAGATCGAGATCTTAACAACCATGAGTTTATGAATATTATGATGGATATTACAGAGTGTTTTCAAATGAAAATATAATATAATTTCAACAAAATTGGGCCAAGAAATGGTTATCTTCAAATAACTAAATAAACAAAGAAGCCAAGGTCAAATTTCTAGACAGAGAATGTACTATGGAGGTAATGCTCATTAAAGTTAAATTGTTTTAAATTTATTGTTTATAATAATAGCTGAGGGTATTTGGATCGCAAAAGAAAACTATTAGCTTATGATTATATTTTAAAGAAGTAGATAACTAATTTTTAATGTTTGAACAATTTTTGATTATGATTATTCCTTTTACAAGATTAAATAATTAGATTTTCATAAGTGGTTATAAATTATGAGATATCTCTAGTATATTCCTTAAACTTTGACATTATTTATGAAAAACCTTGATTTCTTTTTATAGAAAAGAAAAAATAAATGAAAATTATTTATATAAAAAGACAAGAAATCGACAATCATCGATACATATGAGATTTTAGACGATACTCTTTGTAAAGTCATACTATATGCTCATTAATGATAAAGATATTGACTACCAGAAAATGATCGAAAATGTTATTTTAATATAATTTATTATATTTTTTTTCTATCCATAACCGTAAGATATATTATTTTACTGTAATCTTATTGTATTTTTTATATGACATAGTGTATTATCTTACTATAAACTTATTTTTTTAATCCTATAGATGTAGGATCTTATTATAATTTTACTATATTCTCTCTGTCTCACAAATGATATATCTTAATTTAATCTTACTCTACTCTCTCTATCTAACATATCATATCATCTTAGTCTAACCTTACTATATTGTGGGCGTGTTCGACACAGAACGTTTGGGAGCGTTTGAGAGTTTCTAGCTTCTAGCGTTTGACAAAACGCTACATTTTGAACAGAAAGTCTCGTTCGACACTACAAGCTTCTAGCGTTTACTTTAAACAAAACGCTTCAAATCCAAATGCTATCTCATATAGCGTTTAACAAAACGCTACAAGCTACAAGCTACAAGTTACCCGCTACCGCTACAAGCTATCCACTACCAGCTAATTTTGCCGAACACACCCTATATCTATTTGACAGATGATTTTGTCTTATTGTAATCTTATTATATTCTATTATATGATAAATGATACTGTCTTAATATTGTCTTATTGTATTCTCTTTGTCATTCCGAAAAAGAGTATATCTTGTTGTATTCTATCTGTCTAATATATGATATTGTTTTATTGTAATCCTGCTATATTCTATCTCTCCATTTGACAAAGGGTATTTTATTTTTGTATTCTCTCTATTTGACAGATGATAATATCTTACTATATTCTCATTATGTGACATATGATATTATCTTGATATAAATTGTTAGAACAAAGTTCTTGTCGGATCGATAGATTCTAAGCAGAAACACAATTAAAGACGTAACGAAGAACACATGAATGGTTTAACTGATGTCGAATGATTAAACTTTAACACCTCAGAAGAGCTCGATTAAGAACTTCGACTGTAGAGGTGTTTAGGGTTACAAAGCAATAATAACTATAATCACGTTAGATTCTAAGGCATACATGCATGCACTATTTATAGCTAAACCCTACTCAATAATCACGGATGGAAAGGCCCAATCCGGATATACAATACTAAGCTCATGACGCAACATAAAATACCCAACAATCTCCCCCTTTGCGTCAATGGAGCCGAAAGCTCAGTTCGGTTGAGCTATAGAAGACTTCTTGACAGTCTTGAACACCTTCGGTATGATGGCCAAAAGAGTATGACGAAAATTGATATACCACCGAAGCATGTCCGTGAAGTTCTTCTTGTCTGCCTCAGAGTTCTGCTTACACCGATGGATGATACTAATTATGTGCTCTAAGCAGTCCGTTGAGAACAGATGCTTGTCAACAAGAGCGAAAAGAAATCTGTTGGCTTCGCCTCTTGTGAACATCACTGTGAGATGTTTAGAATCAATTTGACCCATCTTTATTTTATTCACATCTCCAGGTTTTGCATTTGGCTTTACAGTGGGTTTCTTCCTCAAAACTTTAGCTATCTCCTGATCCATTGCAGCTACTTCATGGATATAGGAGGCCAACATCCTCTTTAGATGATCTAGGATCGGCTCATATTCTTTCGCATTAGTGAGCAGTATGTTAAACAACAAGATCCAATCATGAGGATTCAAGTTTGGAAGATCTGCCAGGGATATAACCGAAACCGAGTTTGCTGAACCTCGGGTTATTTTGAAACGAACATTGATAAACTTCCCTGCAGGCGAAGGTTTCAGCACCTTGACAGTTATAATCTTCTGTGCACTCCATGTCAGGTACTGAGGCTGACCGAACTTGAGATAAAAATCGATGAGTTCACGGTCAACCTGAGGGTGAGGTGAGGGAACTTGAACAGTCGAATCAAAGCAATGAAAAGTAAATGCCTTTCGTGTTATAGGCATATCAAACTGTGAGTCCCTCGAATTCTCACAATCAAAAGAAGCTACAGGTTCCAGCCAGTACACGCTCGGAAACTCTATTGCTTCTTTGATGAGCGTTTCTCTAGTCCAAAGAGGAAACAAGGCCTTCTTGCAATTTAAGGCATCTTGCTCTTCTTTGTTCTTTCGCTCCCTCTCTTCTGCTTCCTTCGCAACCCGAAGGGTTTCATCCAATTCCTTATCCCTTTTCTTTCGTTTCAGGGCTTCGACAATTGTTTCCTCTTCATCACTATCATCAGCAAGTCCCTTCTTTTTATCTTGATTACCAGAACCCAAAGCTTCATTACCCTTCGGTTCGGTTTTGACAGTGACCTTCGGTTGAGTAGTTTGAACACCTTCTCCCCCTTTTTTTTGGAGGTACGGATCTCTCCGAAACACCCTTCATCTCATGTAAGAGTGCAAGGACAGTAAGAAGCTTGGAAGTCAGATGATTCCTGATGGTCAGAGTAAGTATCAGATCATGAGCACTAAGAATATTGGTTAGCATATTCGTTACATCACCAGCACAACTCCAGAATACAGCTCGCTCAGTCTTTAATAATGAAATCTCCCTTTCAGCTTGAGTCAATTGAACTTTCTGAACTTCAATAGTAGAGGTTTGTCGTGCAAGATCCTCCTTTAATGCACTCTCCTTCGCTAAATCAGCCTGGAGTGTTTCAAGGAGAGAATTCACTGAGCTAAGTAGAGAAGTGTTCTCAGCTTGAATGGAAGAACGAACATTCTCAAATTTAGCTTGCTCCTCTTGAAGTGACTTGGATAAAGAATCAACTGAAGCGTTCACTTTAGCTGCATTTGAATCAGCATGACCTTTGAGGGATTCGAGAAAAATCTGAGAACTGTGAACAAGTTCTGCAACTTCAGTAGTGGCCTTCTTGCAGGAAGAAGTGGAAGCTTCAACCGCCTTTGTTGATTTGTCTATTGCTCCAGTATATTGCTCAAAAGCGGTGTCCAGAAAAGCTTTGAGCACAACATCGTTATATGTTTTTATAGAGGCAAGCGATTGATCAAGTTTCTCATCTAGACTCTGCACTTGTTGTCTGGTGACAGGAGCCTCTTCATCTTCGTCTGTTGGAAGCCGATAAGGACTGTAATAAGTCGAGTCAAACTCAATATTATCACCACCGAGAGTTTCACCAGAATCGGTTGAGGGTGAGGGTGAAAGAGGTTTGGAAGTAACCGGAGGTTCGGTTTCAGTATTAGCCCCCGTATTAGATACGTTGACGTTTACTGGAGGTTCGGTTGTTGTGGTGGTTGGAGTAGTTGTGGTAGTTGCTTGTGAAAGGATAGGAGTTGGTAAAGGAGTTGTAGAGATTGGTATGGTACTAACTGGTGGTGGTGGTGGAATAGAAGTAACCGAAACTGGAACAGTGGTTTTCGGTGGAGATGGAGGAGGTGTTGGAATCTTGTCATTAAGTGGTTCAGTTGGAGTTGGAGAACGAGGAGGTGTATTACCTCTCGGTGAACCATGATGCTGAACTTCCTCTTCTTCATCTGCCGATCGCTCCTCATCATTGTCTGAGCTTGAAGGAGAAGGACTTTTTGATTTCTTTGCCATCTTTTTAACCTTCTTTGGAGCCGAAGAATCACCCTTTTCAGCCTTTCGCTTTTTAGACTTGGCAGCTTTAGACGAAGGACCTTCGGTTGTCACTTTCTTGGTATTTGCCCTTTTGCCTCGGTTGGCTGGCTTCTCCACAGCTTCTAAAGCAGCTTGCTGTTCAGGAGTCAGTTCTCTTGGTCCTTTAGGAGGAAGCTTTCGGTAGTCGGCCATCACTTTACTTTCGGCTGACACACACCTGTACATCGTCTCAGGTATTGAACCATTGTGGGAGAACTTGGTGGCATCAGAGAAGATGATCTTCTTCGTATGAAAAGTAGCCACAGAAGAGACCAATGCATCCTTCATGACTGGAATCTGCAAAGTATCAATGGCCCTGCGTGTGACGATGGTCCAGAAACGTCCACAAGAAATCTCAGAATGTCTCGTCGAAGTGTTGAGACTTTGTACCAATTGCGACCAAATGATCGACCCGTAATCGAGATTAATTCCATTGTAGAGACCATAGAGAATGGTCAGAAAACCCTTACTGGTACCATCTGATCCAGCAACCCTCTCCGCTAAAACCTTGTTGAGAAGAGTAAGCAATCCATTCCATTGTGGCGGCAAACACGATTTCTTAATCTTCGTCACTGTGGTAAGAACATCAGTGTATCCCATCTCGTAAAGCATCGTAAACAGTTGGGTTGTAGTGA